CACGTGGACGGAGGTCATATAGTGGCGTAGGCAGACGTTACTCTCTTCGTCTGGTGGCCGGCAAGGTGTAAGCGAGACGAAGCGGCGAGACGGAGGCGGCGGTGGTGGTCGAGGCTTCGAGTGTCGAGGCGGTATGGTAAGTGTGTTAACAGCGTAAGCAGGGTGAACGCCCTCGATAGACCTAGACCCAAAAAGCGCTCATTCCATGGGCAACTGCCACTGGCACTGGGTTAAGGCGAAGTCATGTGACGCGGTGCAGGCACACGACGTTCGTGCACAATGCACGCACACGCATACCGTGGCTCCCATTACTTTCACGCGTGTGCGTCTGTTTCTGCCGGTTTGCTCGCTCACGCGCGCCCCGGGGTTCGTCGGCCTGAACCCAACCAGCGAAACGCTGGCAAACTGTTCCTACTCGTCACCGTTTTCTTTCTACAGACTTGTATGCATCTCTTAGTATAGGTCTAGATTCATCTTATGTCGGAAACGAAGTGGCGAGAGGGAATTCTGTATCCCAATATAAAATCGAAATTAATTATTCAACGATTATTGAATTTTAAAAGCTTAGCTTAGCTGGAATTGTGTCATCGTTACCAAAATGAGAGAACCGACATTTTACAATTTCGCAGATCGTATTTTTAAGCTAATTTAGATAAGAAGTCTATATTTTGATCAGAAAAGTGTCTTCACTCCGGAATTAGCGAAAGTTGTAGATCCAATTTCGGTGACGCTTCCTCGAAACTTTATGATTCATTGGTTTCCGTTTATGACGTGATCGAATCGCTTTCCTTTCGATCATTCATCGGTGAATTCAATGTCACCCGGTGGAATCCGGAAAAGAAAATGAGACAGAGATGATCGTAAGTTGCACCCAACGGCGATCATTACTTTCGGTCGTGTCTAGTAAAATTTGGGACGAACGGATCGGTGGTCTAAAGATTAAGCGAGAATTTCCCTCGTTTTCTACGATTCCTGTTCCACATTCCAACTGAACGGCTTGCCGCTCGCCGCTGTCATTATCCGCTTCGGGTGTTCGTTGAAAGAAAACAACAATGCACACTTTTTTCTCGACGGCCGTTCACCTGGGAGTTTCGCGCGGGCTCCTCTAACCGATAAACAAATCGCGATCGGTATTACGAGCCTCCAGCAGCGCGTCGACCTTTAGCGAATCTCTTTCGGATTCCCGTGACAATCAATTAATTTTCAGGTCCAGTAATTATGGACTCCTTACCAAACTGTGTTGAAAATAGAAATTATATCTTGTATGGGAATTCAAATATTTTCAGCCCTGTTCCGCTCTATATTTCCAGATTGCATGCCTTAGCAAAGGCAAATAGAATGAACTTGAGAATGAAAATAGATGAGACTTGGGATTGGACGTCAGTATAGAAAAATTTGATGTAAAATGAAATTTCAGCGGAATCGGTCGAATTTTAATCAGACGCGTTACGATTGTCGGTTTACGAGTTCAAGTAGAATCAGACGTTCGCCGTAAGACGCCGAGGTCGCGGAAGAAAGTTCAGAAAACTCGCAAGCGTATAATAATCGGAATATCGTTTCGCGCGGGGCAAGGATCGGGGCCGGCTCGCTACAGGATGATTATATCCAGGCTCGCATAACTGGCGAGGAAAGGTATAGATGCGGTAAGTATAGTCCGTCCCAGCGGTCGGTGGATGGAACTCCATCCTTGATGGAGGTTACTTCGGGCCATCGTCCCACATCTGCTTGGATATGAACTTGTATCTTCGTTCGACTTGCCGGTCATCTCCCTTCGCTTCTCCTTCCTCGTCTCCTTCGTCCTTCTTCCTGTTAGCTCCGCCACGATCTGTCCCCCGCCACAGCATCCTTCTTATTCTTCTTCTCCTTCCTGGTTTCTCGCGTCCTCGTCCGATCTTCGAGCCAGCATTGCGTGTTCGCCGCTCGTTCCACGGCCACTTCCACCGACAGTAGAATCCCCTCCAAGGGAACCTCGGATTTTCTCCTTCTTCGGTATTCTCATCCCCTTCCTTTCTCTTGGGGGACAAAGCCAGTTCAGTGGCGTGAGTTACGATTCCGGATTCCGAATGACCATCCACGAAGGCCGCAACCCTTTTCGACTTTACATATTGTCAATGAGATTTATCTCCAATTTTGTAAATTTTCAATTAGCGCAGACGACTTCAACTGTTCTCTTTACTTATAATAAGACAGATCGTGTCAAAACAACACATGTTGAATTCTGTCAGACGTCATTGAATAATGAAATAACTTTTAAAGGGGGACACAATCCTGCAATTATAGTGTATCTGAACATTGCTAGAACTATAGGGGCCACGTTTTACGATGAAACGTTGTTACAGGTGTTCACGGAGGGCTCGCGTATAGAGAGTTACGTCACTGTTTCTGTTGCTGGCAACGAACTCCCTACCAACGAGTCCGTGGGTACAGCAACACCGCGGAAAGTCGACGGGCAAGGTAAGCGCGACCCGGATTACGCTCGAGTCATCGGTTCCCTTCGCACTTTTCTTCGCCGGCTCACAGGGTCAAGGCACTCGCTCGTCGCTTCCCGTTCGCATTCCCGAAAAGCAAAAGGGCTTGCTACGGAACAAAATGATTTTCAAATCCCTCACTGGAAGATTCTTGTTTTGGGATTGTATTTAAATAAATTTGAAAATAATAAAATAATGAAAATTGTGATTAACAAATAAGATTGTGTATAGCTCGATGAACGAATTTATAAAAATATGTAAGAATAATAAAGAAATAGACAAGTACGGTGTCCGGATTGTAAAAAGAGTACATATGTGAATTTGTCAAAAGGAACGAATGGTCAGAAAAAATGTTGGTATAAAAATATCCGATCACGGAAGAGATGTTAATTCTGCGGACGGCAGGGACGTCAACGACCATGGGTTTCGGCCAGGTAAACGGCCCCGAACGTTGAACCGACGAATGACCTCCGACAACAACGGCCCCCGTTTTCGGTGTCGAAATCACCGAAGGTTCCGACGGAATATAATACTTTTACGGCTTCGTGCTTTCGACTTTTACGACTGCTCGTTAAACGAATCTCCTCTTCTTTTCACATCTAAGCCACCAGCGAGCTTGTTTACCGAGCCAAATCGAAAAGAAACGCCACTCCCCCCTCGTTTCTCACCCCAGTAAGATCTCTCGGAGAAGCGTTTAATTGTTTCGGTCGTTTCTACCGCGATTACTATAAAAGACTCTTGGCGTGCCGTATCAGTCGTTGGATTTTAAAAAAGTGATTCAGGTAAGTCATCCCGAGATGATGTGTCTTTTAGAGGGTCCAATGACTGAGCGCACATACATATAAGCGATTTGCGTAGTCACTGCCTTGAGTATGGCCGTGGAAAAAGTTCTGCGGAAGATGAATAGAACAGCCAACAATTTGCACCTTTTTTATTCCAATTTATTCTTTTTGCTAAGCCATCGTATCTCCTATTTTGCTTCGAGTTAACAGGGATAATTTTACCATATCAAGAAACTGAAAACGGTCACTTTAAAAAGTGATTAAGGTTGGTTTAATTGATTGAACGAAACTAAGGGTGCTTTAGGAGTTAATGTCACAGGCTAATTAAAAACCGTTAGAAAGAAAGGGAAAGAACAACGAATGGGGGAAGAAGTGTGAGGAACACGGGACGCGGTCGAAGACACGAGATACACGGCGACCGCTCGTTACATAAGTAAGGTAAAGGATCTCCTCTTCTGCTCTCCTTGAGCCGATCCACATCCGCGATTATGCCACTTTCCATCGACCTCGCTTCACCTCGACGCGACGCGCGCACGCGTGTGTCTGCGTGCGTGATTCTCAACCAAGGGATCGATTCTCGAACTTCTTCGCAATCAAGAGTATTTCATAAAGTAACAATGTCGTAGATTAATATTTTCTGAAGTATAAAGCGGAGACAGTTGCTCCTTGCTTTTTCTCATTCTGTGTTCGTCCTATAAAAATCTTCTCTAAACGATATCTTATTTTCTCTATATTTTATGTACGCAATGCAACACGATGTAAAGTCACACACTAAAGATTTGTGACAGCCTCTTTAGTACCGTGAAAATTGGCTCACTGCTTTGTCATAGCATCGATGATTGCATTAGTTTCGAATAAAAAATTACATCTCAATAGATCTTTCTAAACTTGACGTAAACGAAACTCTGAAATATTTGCACGAGAAGCGCAAGGGCGAAGGACCCGAGGAAAGTGTAGGGGAACGAATCGGCGGTGATCGAACGGCCAATCGTTTGGCGCTGTATTATGTAAAAGATTCGCGTCGGACGCGTCTTGCTTCGTGGACCAATTTGTTACGTTCGAAGGTTTTTGCGTAAAAAAAAGAGCACCCCATTCGTTGCGCTGTGGTCCGCTTTATTCCTTCTCCCGATCCCCGTTCTATCGCGATGTAAAGTTAATTGGCGTAGCGCGCGGCACGGCTACTCGATTTACATGAGTTTTAATTAAGCGTCTTGCTCTTCAGAAGGTAGGAGATCCTCCCGTGGAATTCTCGTGAATAACTGTAACGCGTTTTGCTCGCTATTCAACAAAAGGGTTGGCCGGCACAAATCTTCAAGACCGTAAATTCACCTTTTAATATTGCTACATTCAGGAAATAATCGTTTTTCATATTACGGTTTCTTGTTAACTTCGCTGTTTGTCTTTTTATCAATTATTATCTCTCAGTTCTTAAAATTCATTTCTACACGAATATGTATATTAATTTTGCGATCTCTATTTTTTTATATTTAAATACTCGAGTATTGTTTTAAGTTACTATTAATCTTTATTTAGTATTAGGGCCGAGTCTGCTTCACTATCAATTTTTTCAAGTTGTTCGTTTAACGAACACTGTAACCATCTACCGATGAAAGAGTTGAGGTACTATCCAAGGATGCAAACCGACAAACTCTGTAGTTTGCCTTTTTACCGATACTCTTAAAAATTTGAATAATGAAGCTTCTGATGGCTGTGTTTTACATAAAAATTTCTATATCATCACAAGAATGGACTCTTTGTAAATAATTACATTTATTTATTTATCAATTTTACAGTATAACAGTGTATACGATACGCTGGATATAGAATAATCTCTGCTCTTTTATTTTTTACTAATTAAGGCGATTAGTATGTGAGTGATCGGTAAGAACATATATTATTATAGCACGTGTACCTCTTTTCTTTTTTATTGGTCGCGATTACCTTTTGTCGTTCAATTGTTTATTCTTTTCCCTTTAATGAAACATGTGCCTACCGTTTGTTCAACTGTTCCCTTTTCACGCTCATTCCTTCCTCTCCTCGACGGTAACAAATTTACCAAGTAGTGCATACCGTATCAACAACTAACAATATTTCACGTAAAACATTACTGTATATCTCTTTCCTTCTTTTAAACATACAATCTCTATGTATTCGTGCGGATAAGGCCACAATTAGTGTTTCTTCCGCGTGTGCGTGTCGCACACTCATATGCGTGTGTGTGTGAATGCGTGTAATCTTTTTCTCTTTCTTTTTCAATGTGTTTTTTCCACTTTGTGAATGATGCAAAAATGCTTACGAGGGAACGGGTCCGTGAACGTGCAAGACTCCAATTCACATCGATTTTATTGCTTGACAAAAAAAAGGAAAGCAATCGAGCGAGAAAATCGATCGATCGATAGTTTGGAAATTTATTTCCCATTTGCGCGTTCACGAAACACGTATCAATATATTCGGGCTCGCGTGAACAGTTGGAGTTTATCTTAGGAAGGGTACAAAAAAGATGAAAACTTGGTCTGCAATTGTTGAACAATTTTACATTTAAAATTTGAATAAAATCTCATTATACGTTTATCGAACAATAGTTTAGAATTCTTAAAATTTCAGAAAGGTTCAACTAGTTTACACCCGAACCCTATTTTCGTTCGTTATTATTCGAATCTTGCACAAGCCTCGCTTTTGCAATTGTCGCAGAGAACTAGATAGAGATAGATATAGAGAGAAATACAGAGATAGAGAGAGAGAGAGAGAGAGAGAGAGAGAGAAGGGTGCAGTTTTCGTGATTGTCGCGCTCATTTGCTTCGACGTGTACATGTGTGTTGTAAATGTGTAACTGCTTCGCGCGTGTACGTGTGAGTATAAGTTAAATAAAAATAATATTACCTTACGTATATCAAATTTAGTTTCGTAAGAATATATAGGATTCATCATTTTATCTCTTTAACGTTTCTTCTTTATTGTTGCGCGCTTCTATTGACGCTCGACGCGCGTTGCCTCTATCATTGTACAAAGCGAGAAGAAAGAAAACAAATAATGTTAAATAATACCACGGCTACGCGTAGCTTCGTTTCGTTTCTTTAAGAATACGATTCAACAACTCGACAATGTTAACTATGCGATAAGGCGGTTTGATTCTCGTACTTTTCTCAAGGCATCTGTTCGTTCGTCCGTTTCTCCGTTGCGCTCAATTATTTCGGATCTTCTTTCGGTTCTTAAAAGCGGCGCGATGGAGAAATCGAAATTGGACTAAAAGTTATTTCTAAATAACTACGAAGCTAGGAGGTCTCCCCGTGTCTTATCGCGTTTTTTATTTCGCGCGAAAACCTCGATCAGCAATCGTTAACGAGAACAATTTTTCTCGACACAGGGTAATGTTCGCGGGGTGGTGTCCGGTTTTTCGCTAAAATGAAAAATTACCGCGTTTCCCGACTATGGACACGTATACGTATAATTCTCGAAAATATAATCGATAGGGAGGAGAAACACGGTAATTTTTATTGCTTCGATTGCTCGAGAGTCTCCGGATTGTTCTCAAGGGTGAACCCTAGCGAGGTTATTATTATTATTATTCTTTTTGTTGTTAATAGACTGGACACCGTGTTATGACTCTCGATAATCCTTCTTCCTTGCTCCTCCTTCCCTCTCTCCATTCGTCTCGCGCACCCGTTCTTTCTCTTTGCTTTCGTTCGTCGTCTCTCTTTACATCAGCTTCATCTTGGCGCAATCGGGGCAGATAATGTCCTCGCCATCAGTGATGAAGCCACGGCCGACCAGCGAAGTCTTGCAGCCAGCGCAGATAAAGCAGTCGTTATGCCAATGTCTGTCCTCAAAAGAGATGAAGCGAGTGCCACCGATGCCTGCGGACAAAACCATTTCCAAGATTCGAGTAACGAAGGAATCGAAACACAATAGGCTTTTTTTGTACACCGTTCCATAAATCAAATATTTCGTATAGTTTTAACTAATTAAGGATGTATTGGCTATACAGTCAATCCCAAAAGATTATGTACCTTAAAAAAACGCATTTCCTATAATTAAAAAGAAATCAGACGTCGGAAGAAGAATGCTAATAATAAATAGCTACGTGCTAAAAAGTATAGAAGGAAATATTCAATTAAGGATAAGAAGATTAAGGNTCTTCCGACGTCTGATTTCTTTTTAAAAAATGCGTTTCTAAAGTGCATAAACTTTTGGGATTGACTGTATAGCCAATACATCCTTAAGAAATAATGCTAAAGTTAAAAATCAATTATGAAAGAGATAATTACCGGTGATCGGTTTGGAGCATGCGGTGCATCTCTTAGCGAACAGCTCTCCGAAGCAGTCCGCGCAGTATGGCTTGTCGTCGCGCGACGTGAATCGTTGCCCGGCCAGGGAATTATTGCAGTTGCTGCAGGTGAAGCAGTCTCTGTGCCACGGCTCGTTCTTGTACGTCACGCCGCCGCTGGTGATGATCTGAAACCATAAGACTCCCTTTACCTCTCTTCGTCGGACCCAAGAACAAGTAATTCCGCTGGAGGGAATCGACTTCCTTCCTGAAGCAACTAACGGGCACGCGTTCCTGAAAAGGGGCTCGAGCGAAGGCATTAATCCGTTAAAGGCACGCTACCGATTTCTATCCGCAAAACACGACGACTAATTAATTTACCTTGTTACACTTGACGCATCGGGTGGCGAACTTGTCCTCGTAGCATCCGGCGCAGTAGATCTCCTGTTCCCGCGGAATGAAGCTCTTCGTTCCGATCGGGTTCTTGCAGACGCAACAGCAGAAACACTTCTCGTGCCACTGCCTAGTCTTGTACTCCATCTTCTTCGTACCTGAAACACAAACCATACATCTCTATTGAACCCCTCTCTTTACTTCGGGACTACACAATTACAATGCATTATTTAATCCTCGAATAAGGGACGGCGGATCGGTTTTGTCCCTCTCTTCACGTGTTTTAATGCTTAGTATCAATAATATCGTGTGCGACGGTAAAAGGGATGAACGGTTCGCAGGGGTGCAAAATTCTCAGGCTAGGGTACTATTTCCTCGCGTCTAGACGATCGCGTGTGGCGCCCAACGATCGTTCGCGTGTTTGCCCCGCTCGGATTTTCCGGCAACACACCGGAGGAAACCTTCTTCGAAAGAAACCAATCTTCTAGTAAAACGCTAGTTAAATCTAAACTTGTTTTTAATATCTCACCTTCGTTTCAATAATAGGAAAACTTGGTTTATAATATTGACCGAGAGACTTTCGAACTTTTCTCTTGTGTTAGAAAAGCTGCAAAACCGGAAGGTCCTCAGCAAAGAGATAGGTGTCATCACCCGCAATGCGGTTTCAAACCTGCCCAAGACTTTCTATCATAGCCAACAACCTAAAGTAGTTGTAGTGCTCCTGCTGCACTCGTTCCGGCCGTCTGATCAATTACGCCTGTTTCTACTGACGAAAATGAACACACGACAGGCATTCGCTATCGGAACATTTTCGCTATAGCTAATCAAAGAATCGTCCATGCGTTCGAATAGTCTAGCACAGTCTTGGCGAGGTATCGCAGAATATTTTTTTCCCGTGGGCGTACCCCCCATTTCTTTCTCGCTCATTAACGCCTTCCTTATTCTTCGCGGCCATGCCAAGGGCAAATTGAGTTAACGACGTTATTCCGAAAGGTGATCTAATAGGACCTAGGTCCAATCGACTGAACAAACATAATGCTAACAATGATTAAACATCTTGTAGCAAGTTTGATCGTTCTTCCGTCCGTTTGGTCTTGGTAGCCTACATTTGAACCCTTGCGAATTTTTTTCGTTTTCGTTCCGCTATTTCTCGGGTCCTCCTGACCGGTGACTCAGGAGGAGGTCCCTGACGTCACGTTCAAGCAATATCTCCGTATATGTATAAAGTCTGGTGGTCCAAGGCCGGCGATGTGGTAATCTCGTGTGCGTTAGTTCGGTTTACCATCGCTCGCCTTCATCGGGCGTTCAATTTATTAGACCAGTTTTAAAAGACTCGCTAATTGACCGGCGTCTCAAGTTTCATCACCTTCAAGCGTTTGTTAACCCATCAAGGATTAATCAGTGAGAAATGCAATAAGAACTTGATTCAATTTCTTCCTTTTTGACGATTAACTCTAAGTGGGATTAAACCGTTGCTACTTGGTCAAGCATTTCTGAAACAGCGGCGCCAACGCTATAATCGCAAGGGTTGGACTACTCGGATACAGTGATCGTTAATGAGATCGTTTCGGAGGTTTTACGAGCAGAGGTCTTGGGGATTGACCGAAGCCACTAGTAATCCGTCGGAAGCCGCGATTCCTCGGCCACGTCAAGTCTAAATATAAATTCCACCGACGACTTTCCCGATCTCGGCTCTGCGCGACTGCCTCCGCTAGGCACGAGAATAATTTCGTGAGGTGAACACGAATATCGAATAACCGGCGCAAGCTCTGGTTTCTCTCCTCTTGCAACATTATTTATTTACCTATTGTGCAACAAGAAAATGTAGAACGCATCCTGCCCTACACCGTGTTCCCGTTTTTCAATCGTACTTTGACATTACATGAAAGAATACCGTTCGAACGCATTGAATAGAACATTTCGTGTCAGTCAGCAGATTCTGATTTAAAAACTAGGAATCACAAGTTCGGTTTCGTTTCAGAGCTTTCGTGACGATCGCTAATAAAAACCACAGCTTCGGATCGGAACGATTAAGATCGCGTGTCGCGATAAAGAGGCAATTTGTCGATAAATATTAGCGTACCTCCGTGTACCTACATCGGCCTAACAGCTGATGATATCACTCGTATTAATAAGATTCTCTATCCGAATGCATGATTCTTTTATCGCTAATCACAATCAAATAAATTGTTTTATTTGCCTATTCGCAGTGTTAACGTTCAATTAACGAGATCGTTAATCGTCCCGCTTGGCGCGCGTAGGATGAAAACGTGTCGCGCGCTTCGCGAAAGTGTTTTTGGGCAGCGTACAAACAGGTGACATCATTATTTAATCGCACCGTGGCGAATTCCAAGCGGTTTCACAATCGGCTGACAAATATTGCCGCATGCATTATCGCGACAATGGCCGGTTTCATTAGACGGATTTGCATTGCGAATTATCCGGAGACCTGAACAAACATTTGTACGTATCGTTTTCGAGAAAGCAACTTCTGTTCAGTGTCAAGAGAAAAATATTCAAAAGAGGATCGTGAGCTTGTCGCGAGCGCAGGCGGAAACGTTTAAGCGTTTTATTAATCCCGTGACGCGATCGATCACGCTTGCAGTCGTATATTAATCATAAATCTCGAGTGGATTAACATAGAAACCCGTTTGCTGGGTTTCCCGTTCTAAAGAGGTTCAAGATCTTTCAATATGATCAAGAGAGAGGAAACTATTTATGAGTTCTCTGTATTGTTATTATTGCTCCATGAATGATTAGTGGATTCGTTAAGTAGAGGTGCACTGGACAATCATGACCGTGATGCTATTCCCACATAAGGTCGTGGTCACCTTCGAATTCCCCCTTACTGTCCTTTTCATTCTTTCTCTCCCTTTCACGAATCTGTCCTCTCGACCATATATAGTTTTTATCATAAGCCGGTTACATCTGATCGACCCACGATCCGCGTGCCGATGCCGAGCTTAGGAACACTTTGAGGACTTTAGAGTTACGAAATTCAACTGAATGATATTTAATTTTTATAGAATTCAGTTATCGAATTAGAACTTAAATTCGATCGTCTTCAATCGTTCTCAACAGATAAGAACTTGTAAATATGATAAAAATTTGTGAAGATTCAATTTCAGAGAAAATTGCATTGTTATCGTCACCTGGTTCTGCCTTCTTCGGGTCACCCAGGAAGCAATCATTGCCGAGGGAGCACCTGAACTTAGGATCACCCTCCATTGGGATCATGCTGAATATTGCAACATCTTCCTCGTTGTCCTTTGCCTTTTTTATCCTCTCCTCGCCTACGGTTTTAGTCTGCAGGCTAAGTTTGGTAGAAAGCCGTTCGCTCAACGCGTCTGTGCCCATTTTTCCTCCCTTGCGAGCTTTTCTCTTTCCACAATTAAAGATTCACTGAAATTTCCGATTTCGACTCTCAGTTTTCTCCCCTTCGATCAATCATTAAAATTTCAATAAAACATCAGTAAAATGCAAAAGTTACGGCTATAGTTTTATGTCTTTAGTTCTTATTAGTTAAATTCACATA